CTACGAGAGTTTCTGCCAAGTAGCACCGTGTTGTTCCCTCTTGTTTGGGGTGTTTCCCCTTAAAACCAAAGGAAAGGAGAAGGAGCCCAGTTGTTAAGAGTTTGTTGTTTTTTAAATGCAGCTGCTTAGGAACCTGGCCTACATAGCTTGAAGAAGCTTCCAATCAAATCCCTCGAAGGCCTTCTCACACCCTATTCACACTGTGTGAGAGACTCTATAACACCGTGTCAAGCCCTACTTGTACAACCAACCTGCCAGAAACACTACGAAATCACAATAAGGAACTCATAGAACACCAGGAAAAGACAGAAGCCCCAAAGCTCTGAGGCCTACGCCCTAAACTAACCTTAAGCCCTAAAGCCCTAACGGTTTAGGGTTCAGGGCTTAGGGTTTAGGGTCCTAAATCCTAAGCCCCTGCCCTAACAGAGCATCGTCTCAGTGTACATAGCGCCTCCCGGATGTCGGGGGCTCCAGCAAAGCTCCAGGAGAGTAGCATCTGCAGGGCTGGTGCAGATCTGGGGTTTAGGGCTTATTTTAGGGTTCAGGGCTTTAGGGCTTAGGGTTTAGGGTTTAGGGCTTTAGGGTTTAGGGTTTAGGGATTAGGGTTCTAGGGATTTGGGGTTTAGGTTTGGGGGTTTCGGGTTTAGGGTCTAGAGAGGTACTCGTGCTTTACGTAGCTTGCTTTATAGGGTTTTTGTAGGTGTTATTAGCGGCTTCACAGTTGTGTTTCTTGTTGGAGGGTTTCGTAAGGACTTTGAAAGAGTGTTGGATTTTAGAGGTGTTTCTTCTAGGTCTTACAGGTCAGTAATCAAGGGTTTATTGTTCGGTTAATGTGTGGTGTTTATGGGATTTGTGTGTGTGTGTTTGTTGCATAGGGTTTACTCGCCTTGGACGTTTATACAGCATGTGCTTAGGCCTCTTCACTTAATCGTCCGATATAGTCCCGAAAAATCATAGTTCGATATACCTCCTGTTCCAATTCTTGCGCCCGCTGTCGTTGTCCGTTCATTAGATTAGATCCCTTGAGGGTTCTGGGAAGTTTGGCCGCTGCTCTCCGTCCTGGCTAGGAACGACTCGGTGCATCGATTCTTCGCGGAGAAAGAGAGCACCAGCTTGTGTTCCTAAACCCTAAACCCTAAACCGTAAATTGCGGTGCTGTCATAAGGGTTACACCGGCTTTTATAAGGAGTTCGGTGCTTCAGTGCGTTTTTAAAAGTTGTGTTCATCAGTGATGTATATCTTTTTTCAGTAAGCCTTCGATATGGTCTCGTGGTCTGTTTTGTTGTGTTATTCCCCGGGGTTCCCTCACATACCTTAAGGACGAAAAGAGCCTTAAACATAGGGGCCCCATTCCCTTATACTATGAATCGCTATATGGTAGATGAACCCTAAACCCTAAAAAGTAGGGGCCCTATTCCCTGATACTATGAATCGCTACATGGCATGTGAACCCTAAACCCTTTTAGGGCTCCTTTCGACCTTAAGGTATCTGCGGGCTTTTTTTAACATGGACGCCCCCGCAAAGACGTTAGTGTGACCATCCTGGTTTCTGTATCTGAACCCGTAGGTTTAGGGTTTAGGATTTTAGGGTTGAGGGTTTAGGGTTTGGCCTTGGCCCCCGGAGCACTAAATCCAACCCCGCAGCCCTAACCCCTAAGCTGCTAACAAAAGCCTAAACACTTATAGCATACCCTAATGCTAACCTTGTACAGTAACCCTCATAATATCCCTTGTGGTCATCCTCGTGGTAATCCACCCTTACAGAAACATCATGGACAACCTTCTGAAATCTAAACCCTAAACCCGAAAGCCCCAAACCCTAAAACCCTCTTAAAGCCCAAACCCCAAACCCCTAAATCCCTAAATCCCTAAAGCCCTAAACCCTAAACTCCCTAAGCCCAAAACCCTAAATCCCTAAGCCCAAAAACCTTCAAAGATTGTTTCGCCCCAAATCCAAAAACCCTAAACCCTAAACCCTAAACCCTAAACCCTAAACCCTAAACCCTAAACCCTAAACCCTAAACCCTAAACGCTTCGCTCCAGGGCCTCGGTGCCCTGGTGGCGATGTCGGCACTTTCGGAGCTCCGACCCATGGCGCTGGACCACGGCACCGTGTCCGGGGCCCTGAAGGTTTCCTTTTGGGTTTAGGGTTTAGGGTTTAGGCTTTAGGCTTTAGGGTTTAGGGTTTAGGGTTTAGGGTTTAGGGTTTAGGGTTTAGGAAATGAGCTCCAGTAACTCCCCCGTCCCCCCGCAAACGCCTCTATCGTTTTATCCCTAGCCCCCACCCTACGTTTTTCAATATCCTAAACCCTGAACCCTAAACCTCAAACCCTAAACCCTAAACCCGAAACCCTAAACCCTAAACCCTAAGCCCAAAACCCTAAACCCGAAACCCTAAGCCCCTTTTAAGGGTTCCTATACGGGTTCTTTTCAAGATTGTACGGGTGCATGCAAGGGCTCCTCTAAGGGTTGTGGGGGTTCTATAAGGGTGCCCCTTTTGAGGGCTGCGACGCTTTTAGGAGCTTTTGGGATAAGGGTTTTGTGTTTTAGGGTTTGGGGTTTTAGGGTTTTGGGTTTTAGGGTTTTAGGGTTTAGGGTTTGAGGCTTTAGGCGTTGATAGGTTGTTGTGCTGATGGTCTTAGAGGGCTTTGTGATGCCTTCAGGTCCTTTTGCTTAAGGATCGTCTCGCAGGGCTCTGTCGGGTTGTATTGTCCTTATCTGCAGAGACTTCGAGAAAGTGTCTGGGTTTGAGACGCTTTCGGGCTTATTCTGTAACCCTAAACCCTAAACCCTCGACTGTGGTGTAGGGTTTGGCATTTGGAGGGTTCAGGGTTTCGGGGGGATAAGGACTAAGGATGGGGTTCAACTGGCGAAGATCGGCGCCCCTGGAGATCGGTTTAGGGTTTAGGGTTGAGGGCTTAGTTAGTCGTATCATTTTCCTCCCAGTAGCACGCTGGTGTAAGTACTGCGGCCACTGCATGTTTGAGTCGGGTTGGTCGGCTGGTCCTCTAAACCGTAAACGCCGTAAGCCTTAAACCTTTAACCCTAAGCCCCTTAAGCGTTCTGGATGCCTTCGCTGACCGTTCCGGAACTCTTGTTTTTGCAGTTTCAGTAAATCTCCATGTAGCAGCCTTCAAACCCTAAACCCTAAACCCTAAAGCTTTGTGTGCTTTTGTCAACGTGATGCCTCGATCCGGCGTATTTCCACATCTTCCGCAACGCCTTATTGGCTCTGTGCTGAGTGTGGGATCTACTGCGTCTTGGACGTTGTTTTTATATGGGATTCCAAAAGGGTCATTTTCGGGTGCAGCAGGGGTGTATCGAGTTCGGATTGATGTTTAGGTTGATGGTGTGGGTTTAAACCCTAAACCCAAAATCTGAGAAAAACTCTGCCATCCATCTGGAGCCCGAGGGTTTAGGCTTTTGGGATATGGGGGCTAACCACGACCTTTCAAGAACGATTGATAAAGCCCTTGCGATCTTTAGTCGTGGGCATTGGTCGGTTTAGTCTTCAGGTGTTGGGGGTTTCGAGTTTAGGGTTTTGGGGTACGTAAAATCGGAACGACACTACAGCCGTGCTATGCTGCGAGGCCTGTGCTGGCACTGATCTCGCCTGGCTTTCAGCCGCTGGCCCAGTGATACTTGAGAGATCAGCTTGCTTGTCCCTAATACCTAAGCCCCTAAACCCTAATTATGGGCGACAGATTTTTGTTTGGCATCTAGGAGGCACAGTGTGGAAAGTGCAAAGTCCAGGCGTTTCAACCGTTTGGGTCCGTTTGGGCATTTTGAGGTTTCGAGCTGCGGGCCTTGGCGATGCTGGGGTCGAGGATTTACGGATTCAAGGCGTGCAGGGCTCTTTCCTAAACCCTAAACCCTAAACCCTAAACCCCCAAGCCCTGAACCCTAAACCTCTAAACCCC